CTATTTTGAGATTGATTTCAGGACTTAATTTGTAAGTACACGTAATATCTAACATGGAGATCATGAATATGAAAAAATAAAACTAAAATAATAATTCTAATAAAAAAACATTTGGACCGTTAGTTTTCATTGTTTTTAAATGGAACATCTACTTGCATCCATCTTTAAGATCGATGCTTTACACTTTCCAGACCACATATGTAGACATGCGGTCCAGCCCGCATGAAATAATTTCCCTTTGTTGAAAAGCAAAAGTATCTTATTCTTTCTATACACTATTTTTTTTTTAATTATTAATATAAATATTATTATTATTATTATTATTATTATTATTATTATTATTATTATTATTATTATTATTATTATTATTATTATTATTATTATTATTATTATTATTATTATTATTATTATTATTATTATTGCTATTATTATTTCTATTATTATTGTTATTGCTATTATTATTACTACTGTTATTATTATTACTGCTGTTATTATTATTGCTATTATTATTATTATTATTATTATTATTATTATTATTATTATTATTATTATTATTATTATTATTATTATTATTATTATTATTTAACAGGACATGAACTTGGCCAAGTTACTCAGACTCGGCCGAAAAACTCGCCTCCGCCAAAGTTCGAGTACCTTGGCCGAGTAACAATGTTCTTGTGTGTTAAATGGGCAAGAAAGAAGGAGCCGTATTTTTTGAACTAAATTCTATATAAATTGAATATGAGGATCTATATTTCCTCAATTCCTCGACTAAATATCCAAACCAAAGGAACCTTCATGAAGTTCTTTTTAAATACATTAAATGATTTTGATGAATTTTTTTTTTTTCATTGTATTATTATTATCGCTTTTATAATGTTATAAGTTTTTATTCTCGTAGGGCAGTGCCCATCAATTGCTCATCCCTCATCCCTAATACTTGTGGCATGAGAATGCAATATTTTTAAGGGAAAATTATGGAATATCCATGTATAACATTAGCCCCAACGTCATTCTCGTTGAGAAGTCTCCTATACTCAATTATCCGAAAAAAAATCTTCATTTTTGAGAGAGAGAAATAGAGAGGGAGCAAAGTGAGACGGAAATTTCATATTAATTTTCTAATTTTACTTAAAAAGGGTACTTACATCCAAATTATAGTAAAAGTGCCTTGGGGGGGGTGAAAAAAAGAAGAAGGTAAAATTACAACAAAAAAAAAAACCCTTGACTCAACTTTCTTTACAACCTCCCCAACCACCTTTTTGTGGCAACTTTTAATCGAAAATTTTGTTTTAAAAAAAGTACGGTTAATTCAA